TTTTTTTTATGGCATAAGCCGGTAAACGAGCAGACGGATCACCTGATGGTAAGCAATCGGCGTCGCCCATGGACACCTGGAACACCAGAGGCGTTACAAGTGCGTTACCGGCCTTTTGGGGATTAGGAGTTTGAGGATCGTTGGGGATTCAGGGATTGGGGAGATTGGGGAAGGGGAGGGTAATTGGGCCTCCGGTAACCTCACTCACATGACGAAACACAACGCAAGCGTTGCTTCACGTCGGTTTTCTGTGAGGCCGTGGTATCACTCCGGTCGAGCCGGCCCATTTGTGCCGAAGCTTGGCTCTTCCACACTTATAAAAGGTAAAAATATCATATACGTATGTATGAAACGTGACAATTAGCGATCCACAATTTCTGGCTATCCCCATGAGACAGGTGAGGTTATGTATATATGTAAAGTTTCAATAATTTTACTGATAAAAGGATGGAGATTCTGCTATTCATGTTTTATATGACACAGTTCAAACAGTTCATATTCAGTTGTATAGTATTTTAATGCATTTTTTTATTAATACTTACAGCATCATAATAGTTAGCCAAAGGTTCTGTAGTATTTCCAAATGGTAGAAGAAGAATTTGACCGGAGGAGTGAAAAGACAGGTAGAGGTCAATCTTATCAGCCATATCTGTGATGTATGCAGATAATGACCTGGCTTCAATTTCAGAGAAGGGACCTGGACCAGCATAGGTGTTGGAGCTTGGATTCAAGTTGGCGCTTTCCTCTGCGAAGTAAATAACACTGTTATTGATGAATGTGTAAAGTTAGTATGTATATTTTACATTCCTTTTGGAATTCATCAGCGTAATGTTTTAGGTATAGAATAAGTTTGATAAAAAATCAATAATACTAAGTCTATAATTATCATGTTCATGTATTTTGATATTAAAATAAATTAAGTTATGTTGAGTATCAGTAATTTACCAATGACATTCTACTTACTCAGCCAGTTGTCGTTCCAATTCCTGTTGAGATCGACACCGAATTCACTACCAAAAGGACGTCTGTTTTTGCGCCATAGTCGGAACTGGGAAAAATATGAAGTCTAATGTAATTTTTATTGATAAAAAGACTTATTGGGTTGTAGTAAGTTAACCTTTATGTTATTGGCTCCTCGTATTAAAATTCGACAAAAAATGGATCAAATCAAAAATTGGTATTTGTGACATCACCAAGTATCCATAAGAAGCGACTCCTAAATATAGGATTTCGAATACAAAACTGAAGATACCTTCGTTAAATCCATAACAATATTGCTAAAAGACTAAATTAAAACTTACGCCAACATGACTCCAGATATACCCATCGGGATTAGTCACAGGGAAGATGTACCAATCAAAATCACGAGCAGCAGCCTTTATCTCCTCATCATCACTAAACACAAGCTCGTTGATGATAAAATTAGTTGTAGCTGGAGCAATCCATTCCCTGGCGTGAATTCCACTTTCAATGAAAACTGCTCGCCTACCAGGACCATGGGAGATCTTTATGCCCTTAATCTCTCGACCTTCGTACGTGGTTCCTCCAATTATTATAGAGATGGTTTCAGGGAATCTGGCTGCTAAATCTTCTAGCCAAGCGTAGATGTCTTCTAAAGTATAGTAATTGTCAAACTCCATAGTTTTGATGTTGCTTCTTGTGTAGGTCTTCTTCTTCTCATTGTCGATTAATCTGTATAATTAGATTTATAATTGATATGTATGTCTTATTAATAAATTTTTATACTAACCTAGCATATGGAATGAAAGTATATAGTGTAATCACATTTTAAAAACTCGCAATTATTTTGTGCGATTTTTTTTCCATTGCCTCACACTATGATTTTCTCCTGTGTCGTGAGTGCGTTTACTAACATACAAGTTTACATACACATGATACCCAGATCCAGAAAGAATCTGTGGATCCGACAAAGAGTTGTTCCGTGTGGGCATCGAATCCACGACACGTTGCGCGACAGCCAGTTGCCCAACCACTGCACCAACTGTGCAGTCATTCTAGATCATTCTAGAGTCTAACGAAATATCTCTATCTAACAATGTGAATATACATGGATACATAAAATACTTACTCTTGAATATTTTCTTGTGTTATCACAAAATCAATTTCGTTGGATGCCAAAAAGCTTTCCAGATCTTTCTTCAGTTCGGGTTTGGACACAATATTAATATAATCAGCGGTCGGCACAGGGTCATCCCAGAAATCAAATTCAGGAGCAGCATTTTGTAGTTCTTGAAGATATTTCACATCTTTTAAACTCTTAGGCAAGACTTTGTAAAGAGAGTAATTGTCAAACCGAAATGGTTCACTGGAAACCACTACAAATAAAATTGATAATAAATAAAATATTTTTAACGCCATTTTTCGGAGTCTATTTGTCTTAGACTACCATGGTCGACTGAATGTCCATATCAGGTGGAACCATAAAAGTATAAGGAATAAGATATAAATTGATAGAAGAGCTGTAAATTTTATGATCATTTATAATGTTTGATAAATTTTATTGTATCTAGGTATAGTAGTATAGTATTCATGTATTAATTTTAGTTATATCGTCATTAACAATCAGTTATATTAAAGTGGAGTTATTAATTATTGACTACATCTGATAGTCGCATTTAGACCTTGTTTACTGTCTCATTTTATGTTGTTTCTCATGTATATTGAAGTGTCTATTACCTAATTCTTTACAGTATTGTTAAGATAAAAGATCCTTTATTAAAGCTGCTTTTTGATTGACATAAAAAGTAGGGAAGTTTCAAGAAGGGCATATATCAAGGTACGTATTATATTATTTTTTTAATGCTTGCGCGTTAGTCTTAGGTGGTATATTATTATTATCATCAACGATCACTGCTTGCCTGGTTATTTAAGTACATAACATAACATAACACCACGCCTTTTTATCCCCGAACGGGTAGGCAGAGCTGCACATTGCGGCACTTAATGCCACTGTGCAATGTAACACCTACTTTTCACAATTTATGTTATGAGTCCCATGTAATAGAGGTGAGCCCATTGCCGTATACCAGGCACTATTCCAGACTTCGTGCTACCACTTAGTTTTTTTTAAACCCAGTTATTTAAGTACCTATAGATAATAATTAATTTGTATGGTGAAGCTTGACGCCAATGAAAAGGATTGAAACAGAGAGCTATAAGAAGAGGTGAGTGGAAGAATGGTAGGGAAGCCTATGCAGTGCAGTGGGACGACCATGGCTAAAAATGAAATGGTAAAATGCTAGAAATCACCTTGCATTTTGTAGTTATGTTTAACACTTTGGCTGCTAAATTAGAAATGGTGAATGTCAAACCTCCACGAACGAGTGGTGGTTACTCATCGGTAACTGACGTGGCGCTTTAAAAGTCATTTTAATTCATAAAATAAAATCTAAAAGAAAAAGTAATTGTAGAAATGAAACGACCGTAGATGGTAACGAACTGTCAAATTTTTATTTTATGCATAGATTAAACATAATATAGTACCCAAAGCCTCTACTAGATGGCACCACATTTATATTTATTTTGTTAGAATACGACAGTAATAAAACAATAATACTAGTTAAATGTGAAACAGTTTTAAGAAAACGTCATCATTAATAGTACACAATGATCTGTAAAAACAGTACCTACTTAATCTATAAAATAATTAACTATGAATAGTTATCGTTTTTATCTTTATGACAAGATCACCGTCCTACTTGCATTTTACAATTGTATCGATAATTACAATTTTATCAAAGTTTTAAGCAATGTGTTCAGAATCGATATCAGATTAGGTATTGTAAACAGTTTTGCTGTTTGAAATGTCCCAATATTGTTAATATTTTGATGGTAAGTAAATCTTTGATTTTTTTTTTCTGATTTGGATACAACTGTGGTATTCGGGCGGTTTTGTAATTCTGATACCTAAAATATGGATGATAAATCTCAGAATTAGGGTTTGGTCCCCATCACTTAAATACTAGATTCTGCCCGTCGCTTTGTCTGCGTTTTCGTGGGACAAAAACTGGCCTATGTGTTATCCTAGACCATAATGTATCCACAGAAGGGGCCCAATAGGGCTGATGCCGATACGGAGCCGCAGAGAACTTAACGGGTTACCCGAAGTCCGGCTCGAAGTGCAGGAGTAGGAACGGGGTGGTTTTTAGTCAGTAAGAGTCTGACCTCCCTCTTGCCTCACCCGGGCGGGAGAAGTCACTCAATGATTTTCCCCGCTTAATAAAAGACCATAATGCATCCCTGTTAAAAAATTCATCATAATCCCTTCAGCCGTTTTGACGTGAATGAATAACAAATGTACACACAAACTCATAGACTTTCGCATTTATAATATTTGTAAGATTTATTTATTTATTTATTTACCTATTTAAATATCACCCCAAAAATGTTTGGTATTCGAAATTTGATGATTATTGGCGAGGGGTTTATTGGGCCTGCGGTAACCTCTCCGATACGATGAAACACAACGCAAGCGTCGTTTCACGTCGGTTTTCTGTGAGGCCGTGGTATCACTCCTGTCGAGGCAGCCCATTCGTGCCGAAACATAACTCTCCCACACTTGTTCATTTTGTTATTCTAATAATCGTTAACAAATAATTGGTAAACAAAATAAAACAGCCATATCTGATGTCAGTTTTTATTCTTCCTAAATAAAAGCAGACATTAAAATAAATATGACATTCAGAATAGTAATTTGCAGGTACTAAGTAAATTTGAAAATTGTGTATTAAAAATAAATAATTTGTAAAATATTTATTTGTAAAGTAATATTTAAGTTGCAATTATAAACATTATAATGTGACCGATAGTCGATTACATTGCAAATCTATAATTTATTGATACCTATGATGAAAGAATTTTATTGTCGCAAAATCCTAAGATAAATAATAACATTACAAGGCACCGTCTTAATAGAATACAAATCGTAAGTTTGTAGAAGCGTACGATAACACGTGTCTCGACTTCTAACCTAATTAGTTTGAGCAGTACAATTTTGGAACTAAAGTATTTAACTCTGATTATGGTCGAAAACACAAACCTGCCTCATTGGCCGAGTGCAAATGCAAGTGCCGGGCAAGGGGTCTCGGGTTCGATTCCCGGGTCGGGCAAAATACTACTGGGTTTTATAAAAAATCCCAGTAGTAGCATGGAGTCTGGAATTGTGTCCGGTATATGGCAATCGGTTCACCCTCTATTACATAGGACTCATAACATAAATAGTGAAAAGTGGGTGTTACATTGTATACCTGTGGCATTAAGTGCCGTAATGTGCACCTCTGCCTACCCCTGACAGGCTCTTCAATTTTTAAGAACCCCTAAACTAAGGTTTTGTAAACGCACCCACGACACAGGAGAAAATCCTAGTGTGGGGCAACGTCTTTATATAAAAAAAAGGTAAATAACATTTTGGTTTTCACTTTCCAATAAGAAGTAACACTTAACAGTACAGGGGTTCGTTCAGGCGCTCTTTCACAGTAAGTAACGCAAAGTTAAAGAATTATTTAGGAGATCGTGAAAAGGGCTTTCACGAACCCCTAAACAATTCTTTAACTTTGTTTTAGTTTATTTGCACGTAAACATCACACACGGGCCTCCAAGACAATGCCTTCACCACCACAGATGGGGCCCAATAGGGCCGATGCCGATTCGGAGTCGCGGAGAACCTAACGGGTAACCGGGGCTCCGGCTCGACGTGCAGGAGAAGGAACGGGGTGAACTACAAGTCTGATTTGAAAAATTCTTTCTGTGTTGGATAGCCCATTTATCGAGGAAGGCTATAGGGTATACAATATCACGCTACGATTAATAGGCGCCGAGCAGAACGAGTGAAACCGCGCGGAAGTAGCTAGTATTAAAATATAACACAAAATTTTTACACGACTGACAAAAAGGAGTGTAAGTATACCTAATTAATAATAACAAAATAGTAGACTTCATTAAAATAACTTCAACGAAAAAGATAAGTCTAAAATTATTAACTTGTAAAGTTAGTTAAAATCAATTTTTGTCGTTGACCTTGGGCTAGATATTCATAGCGGAACGTTTTTTCCTTTTAACACTTTTAAATGTTAACCATTCTTTATTTTTTATTTGTTTTGTTTGCGTGTTTTTATTGTTTTCTTTTTATTAATGTGTTTTGTTGTTTTTATATCATTTTAACGACTTCTACCAAGCGTTCGCAAAACTGCTGAGCAAGTTTTAGTGCGAGTACAATAAAAGTATATTTTGTGTCTAGTTTTTTTAGTATTAGCAAGTATTGGGAAATACTCTAGTTTTCTTCAGTTGTTGAATTCATGCTAAACGCAAACGCATACAAATAATTATTCTTCTCTAAGCTAAAATTCATCATCGGCCCTTACAACCTTAACCCTATATTAACCACACTGTTTCTAAAGAACCATATATGCATGTTTCTTTTTCAGTCTCATAAACCAAGGATACACAAGGGGACAAAATGTCCTGTGACACGTGTGGCCAGCGACGTTGGGTGAAGTAACGCGACGTTGCCGGACTTTGGTCGACATGTTTGGTAACATCAATGTCACTGTGGACAAGCCGCGCGTTGTTGCATAACATAACATCACACCTTTTATCCCCGAAGGGGTAAGCAGAGGTGTACATTATGCCACTGTACAATGTAAACACCCACTTTTCACTACTTATGTTACGAGTCTCATGTAATAGGGGGTGAGCCTATAGCCATATACCGGGCACAATTCTAGACTTCGTGCTACTACTGAGAATTTATAAAACACCCAGTAATACTTAGCTCGACCCGGGAATCGAACCAGAGACCTTGCCCATATAACATCCTTAAATACCAAAATGAATAGTTAATACATTCACTTCCAAACCAAATTCTAAAGAAGTATAGGTAAATAAAAAAAACCTTCATTCGGCAGTATGATAAAAATTAACAAGAAAATCAGCTACAATATAGCGAGTACATAGCGGAATACACCGCTTCATCGCCACGCGTATTTAGCTATATAATCGATTCGTCACAAATTGTTACAATGTCGACATTTTCAACAAAAACTATGTTCATCTATTATCTATTTTATTTACAACATTTTCACGTCAGACTGACAACCTGTTTTTCATTGTAAAACCACAATAACAAACCTGTTTAGGCAAGAATGAGTCATAGATTGTACTAAGTCAAGGTAGACGAAATTTACAAAGTGAAATGACACGATTCTGACTCCAGAATCATTTTGTGCTTTTTGAGCCACTAGCATATAAAAATTACTAAAAATATCAGCACTGTATCATCTGATAATACCACTGTCCAAAGTAACTGGTAAAAGATCAGCATCTTCGGAAGCAAATAGATGATGGATGCACAAAGCAATAGGTTGACAGACTGCTGTTCAAACTGGTTAGCCAGCAGTCGATCAACCTGG